GCCAAAATTGAAGTATTGAGATTGAGATAATGATTATATATTTGTATATATCAAAAACAATATTGGGGAAAAATATCTGACAAAATGGAATCATGTCACAAGAAAACTTTTTCCATTTTATCATACATTTTTAAAAAATAAGATATAAAGATTGCATTAAGAACACACCAAAGAAAGCAGCATCATACAAAATCACTGGGCAAAGATCATTCATTCTGGAGAAAGGCAGTGCATAATGCTAAGAAAAAGTTTAAACAGAATCATGTTATGCATGTAAATCTCAAGTGAGGTATTTTTAAGGGTCTTGATGTTAATTTCTCTGAAAATGTTGCCACAGAATTTGATCTAACATAGAATGAATATGGTTACATCCCTCTAAATAGGGTACCCTTCAAAAATCATTAAAGATGCCACACACGCACACACACAGAAGTCATTTATTGGAATTTAATTTGAGAACCACAAATACAATATTTTACAAGTTCATATTCTAGCCTATTTTCTAATCCTCACCCCAACCTTTTTCTTTGCTTTCAAAACTGGCTCCCAAAGCCTAGATTCTTATCAGAGATAAGAATATATTTTCTGATTATCAAGAGAGCTGGAAAATATAAAAAGGAATTCCACCACCATTATCCTTTCCATGTTGCTATAAAGTCTGCGGGAAACACTCACAGCTTGTTGCAGCTCCCAAAACCTTGATTCTTATCAGAGATAAGAATATATTTTCTAATCAATGAAGGGGCCAGGAAATTTATATAACAATTTTGGAGGGAAAAGTCCCCAATATTTCTGAGCCTCCTAATCTCTATAAATTTGGAGAATCTTTGCCTATATGGCAGTGAGTAACTTCGACGACTATCTGAGATAACAATGGGTCGACAAGAGAAAGGCATTCATCTTCAAGAAAGATCTACCTGCTAGACTGAAAAGACAGAAGGTCAGCCCACTACTAAAAACTAATTGATATCTGCCTCCTTGCAACTGAAGATTTCTGTCATCAACCTACAAACTCACTCAACTACAGAATTTTACTGACATTTTCCTGCTCTGCAAGAACTCTGTAGAAAACTGTGAGTGTTTTGACCCTTAAAAAAAAATCTACTCACTTTTAGACACTCAGAGAAATATTTTGAGCAAGCCTTTTTTCTTTTATGAACATTTTTTTTTCCTTTAAAGTTAAAGGACTTTTTCTTCTCCCTTTCCTTCTCTCATAATTGTGTTTATCCCATTACCCTTTTTTTGTACATGTAAATCAACATCTTCTTTTATTGTTAGACACCAAGCAGGAGTTTTGAGTCTTTCGTTATTCATCCACCTAAAAGAGAGAGTTTGTCCACTAATCTTTCAAGCCATAGTTGCTTGCTGTTTTGATTTGATTTTTGTTGCATTTTTTAACCTCAACCCTTTCATATGGAAAAACCGGGACAAATTTCCCATACATTCCTTATGTGTTATGCGGCACTTATGTAACAACTACTGCAAAAGATACCCAATATGGCCACATCTGCACAAGAGAAAGAACATGATCAAACACAGATAATTATATATGCAACTTCAAGCATTGTTTGTTCTATGTAGTAATTATTGTACTTCTGCATGACCGTGGTGGATGTACAAAATTTAGGTTTAATGTAAATTTCTTATGATTAAGTTTGAGCAAAATTTCCCAGCAGTTTTTTTTCCTTTTTTCAAACTAGCAAGAGACTACACATTAAAAAGCAACATCTTATGTTAAATATAAAATACTGGAAAATTTTGCAGATATAACTCAAAATAACTATCAAAATGATATCTATTGCAAATAACCTAACTGAATTTTGATAAATTTTAAAAATAAAACCCCATATTTCATCATCAGAAAAATCAAATATGGATGTTTTAAGAGAAAAGCAACAGAATATACAAAGAATAGAAGAAAAACAATAATAAATAAGTAAATGTAAAACTCAAATGTATTATGAGTCAAATTAACTTTATAATGATTTATAAGGAATAATTTCTTCATCTTTTTGTTGTTTTTTATCACAATGTTTTAATAACTATTCTTCCTGGACCTTCTTTTGGTGCTTTTTGTATTTTGAAATTCCCTAATTTATTAAGTTGGTCATTATTTTTCTCCAAGAATTTGAGACTGTCCCTTAGTGTTCTTGTATAAGGGGATTCTGAAAAATCCCGAGCTTAGCCCACTTCCCAAAATTTGATCAAATGACCAAACATCAGATTTTTCTTTTAAAAGGACATTTTGGTCTGCTTGAATTCAGTACTACATTGTATCTGTGTCATCTGCAGTCAAACAGCAGAAAGTCTGTGTGACTTAAGATCTGATAACTAAACATTATAATCATATTTGACACACTAATATAGATTGAATATGATAAAATACATTTTTTTCAATTTGAAATAACTTCTTCTCTAAGATGTATTATATTCTTTATAACGTAAAAGCTATCAAATCAAACAGCTATGAATCCTTTTTGTTTTCTGCATATTTCTTTGCTTGCAAAACTGTTCCTAGGTTCCATGTTATTCTTTTTACATTTCATACATACATTTATATATTTATATATATATATATATATATGATAAATGAAAAACTTTTTCATTGTAATTAGATTACATTACACGTTTTACCTTTTTTAAGCTTCACCAAATCAAAAATGAAAGAAAGAAATATTTGTGTATGTGCTTAAATAATAAATCATTAGTACTTGTTCCACTAAGCTGAAATTTATACATGTGTGTGTGTGTGTGTGTGTGTATTATGAGAATAACCATGTAAACACTACTCAACAATAAAGTGTAAATATGCATTGAAAGTGACATGAGCAAATCTTATAACCTCAGAAAAGTTGCAGGAACAAAAAAAATGCTCAGCTGAATTATGATGTAATGATGTAGTTCAATTATGATAGTTGCTTACTTATAACTACAGTTTTGCCCATTTGACTCATCAGGCAGTAAATGTTTAGAAACAATTTTACTTTATAAACCAACTCACATATCTCTTATAACATGGAAGAACTGAAGTTGGTCAAGTCATTAACCTAGAGATAGGTATGTTAAAAGCTATATTTTTTATGTTTACAATTCATCAAAATTTCATTTATTTTATTTAATGAATTCTTCTGGTCAGGAAATGCTACTGTGGCCAATTTTATTTCTTTATATAACCTGCAATATGCCCCACCTGTGTTATAGCACATGGCTTTTTTAATGTTCCATTTTATTGTAGGCTGTATGTTTTCTTTTTCTTTAACTTCCCCTATATATCTTGACATGGCACTGCTATTTTTATATGTTCCTGATTTTAATGATGCTTTATGATTGCAGAACCTCTCCTTTGCACTGATCGAATGTAGGTTTTTTTTTTTGGTTGTTCTCAAACTTAACAGTTGCTCTATAGATTATATTTTTTACTTGACCATTGTTATCTAAGACAAAATATAAAACTTCTGCATAAAAGAATTTTTGTTAGATTTTATGACATCCTGCTGATAGAATACATGGTGCGATGGATAAACTGTCATCTAATTTATGCAAAAATGAAAATAACACTGACATCTCATTTTAACAGATATGTTTACCAAAATTACACAAAAATATCTTGAAATACTAAAGAGTAAATTTATTCAAAAAAATCACTATTGGCTTCAACCATGGCCTCCAGATAACTTTGGAATCTTCTGAAACTATTCTTGACTATCTCCTTATTTAAGTTGGTTAATGCTACCATAATCCTTGCCTTCAGTTTGTCTTTGGTATTACAAGGAGTTTTTTGGTCTCTGACTCAACTGTGTCCCACACATAATAATCAATGGGTTTGCAGTCTGGGGAGTTAGGTAGCCAGATGTAAGGGGTGATATGGTTGCAGAAATTGTCTGATAGTCATGAATGAGCTATTCTGCTTATGTGGCATGGTGCAGAGTTCTGTTGTCAGACACAGGGTCTTCCAGCAGTCACCCTATTGATACAGGGCAGCAATACCTCATCAAGGAACTCCATGTTGAGTCTGAGGCCCTCACCAACAAATTCAGGTGTTCTTTTTTATCAGAATGATTACAGTGAGTTTTCTGAGCTGCTGTGCCTTTGAACTCACCATTAGACTCATCTAACTCTTTCCAAATCCTCTGCACTATCCTTAGATTGACACCCAAATTCCAGTCAAATGCCAAGCAGTACAGCATGCCATTTTCAAATTTTTGGTGGAGTGAATTGCGTGATAGTGCTCTTTTTCTCAGAGACAGTGCCCAACTGTCCCTACTATATTGTACAGTTGACAAAATCAAAAACAAACAACATACACATTCAAAAAGGAAAATCAAAAAATGGCAACAATTTACCCATCAGACCCTGTACAAAGATATTAGCAAATTGCATCAGAATTTAAATTTTTAGATCCTTTGTTAATTTAAACATAGTCTGACTGTTAAACTTGTGGCTAAATGAAATAAAATCGATAAATAAAATGATTATTATGAACAATGAAATAAAAATACATTTTCCCATGATGCAAAGAGTAACAGACCCAGAAATATCATTACCCCACTTGAAATCATCAACTCTGCTATAAAATGACAAACAATTTCCTGCTTCAGTCTCTTTCTCCTTTTTACTTCAAGATTTAGAACCACATGGTAATTACATTCCAACTGGGGAGTGTTTGTTTCTCCAGTCTACTGATGCCTGAACTCTCTTCCCACTTCTCAACGACATTGTTTGGATGTGCTTTGCAGCCTTACTCATGAAGCAATTTGGTTGCTCAAACTCAGCTCAAATCTGACAAGCAGAACCATTTTAACTATTGCTATCCTTAATTAACCCAACTTACTTCTGAACCAGAAAAGAGAAAGGACATACCCAATAGACAATTATATCTTTATTTCACTACAGTCACCATAAAAAGAATAAACTGTCAGTAGTAGAAACCTAATTTTTTGTATGCTTCTTTGTTTATAATATGTGAATACATAAACATCTAAAATACACACAGAGGGTTGACAGCCACATCATAATGAAATACCAGTTCCTGTATTATCACCAAAGTTAAGCAACGTTGAGCCAGATCTAGATGGGTGACCACTTGGGAAGACCAGGTGCTGTAAGCTTGGATGTACAATGGATAATGGCATGGAATTGTTAATCAGAGAGCTGAGTTCCAATTCCAGTCAGGTTCATTATATTCACTTATATGCAAATATCCTTGGGAAAGGTATGAATCCACCTTTTCTCATCCCCAGCTATGGATTAATTAGTAAGAATTGTATAACTAAACCATTATTATATCTAAATATAAAATAAAAATTGCATACAAAATATTTACATTTTGGCATTAAATAACCTATATATGTGTTGATATGCTGCTAAAGAAAAACTAACCAACTAAAATACACACAAACATGCAACTTTTGTAAATTCCATAAACTTCCTTAACATAAGGTTAAAATTTATAAGTAAGGAAGTAATGTTTCTAGATTCTTAGATCATATAAGGAAGTAATGATCATATAAGGAAGTAATGTTTCTAGATCATATAAAGAAGTAATGTTTCTAGATCATATAAGGAAGTAATGATCATATAAGGAAGTAATGATCATATAAGGAAGTAATGTTTCTAGATCATATAAGGAAGTAATGATCATATAAGGAAGTAATGTTTCTAGATCATATAAGGAAGTAATGTTTCTAGATTCTTAGATCATATATTACAAAATATAATAATATTAAAATTGCAGTAATGATGTTCTTAAAGTCAATTTTCATATATATAATCTAAACTTAGTGAAAAAGTGTGTTTTCAGTTATATAAAATGGAAGTGAAGCAGTATGAAAAGAAATTGTTTAAAACCAGAATAGCACACAAGGATATCAGTTAGTTGCTAGTCAAAACATTGCATTATTATTATTTGTGATAAGAGAATAAAACTAGAGGAGTAAACAAATGCTCCATTCATAAAATTTCCAAAAAGGACATTAAACCACAGAAATAATTTTGCTCAATTACTTTGCAGAAAAAAGTAGGCCAACCATTAAAATAAATTGTATGAAACATGAACAGATTGAATTTCTCTCAGGTAAAAAAAAAACCTCCTCTCACACGCAAATCCAGGTAAATCAGTAATTCATTTATTTTAAAAGATAAATATTTATTTTTGAAGATAATCTCTTTCTTTGTCAGTGCACTTTCTTTAATGTTAAACATTAATCACTAAGATCAAACATTCATTACACAGTGAAAGTGTAATGGTGGCCGTACTGTTAACAAAAAATGGAAGAACAAATGGATATAATACGTGGTCAAGATAAATCAAAGAGTTTTTATTTCCTGTGATCTACAAAGTTTGATTGTTTGTTCATTCATATGTCAGTCATGGGAGACTGAGAGTTCATTTGGGATATAACACACGGTAATATAGTTGAGATAGACACATGGAGAAAATCAACATGCATATGTAGTCAAGTGATATAAATTCATGAGAGAAATATTCCATGAATTATCGTATCATAATAATCAAGAGATAATCTCTACCACTGCAGATTGTTGATGTCACTACTGATGGCCTGGTTAAGCTTGCCTGCTGTGGGGTCCTTACTGGTTGACCTGACTATTAATTATACCAAAAAGCACAAATGTGGCACACATCAGATATACCTTCATGGGAGAAATCAGAATTAGCCTTATAGTGAGTTAGTGGCTCATAAACAGTTGCTGCAAAAGCACAAGCTTTTTCTGATTAGTTAGAAAGAACGTTTTTGGAAGTAGGTCTATGAAGCTGAACAAGATTAAAGTCTGTTTTTGTCATATGAGCTGTGAACATCGAAGTAAGCACTTTCATTTGAGTTAAAGACAAAAAGTTTCATATTATAAATTTAGCTAATAACATATCAAACTATGAACTTATTAATCCACATACCCAATGATCTTTTGGGTTATATGCATATATTAGGGTAATGATATTTTTGTCATCCTATGTTCCTGTGTCATAAATTGATGAACTTTTGTTCAAAAGTAATGAAAAAGGTATTAATTTGTTTTAATTCTTGACAAAGATCAACCCCAAAGCAAAAAAAAAAAATTGATTTTATCATATATGCAATAAGGGTAAAAAATCAAAATATTTCAGAAGCTTTATTTTACAAATTGCTAATGACATAAATACTATCCAATTACATAATGGATAGTATTTATGTAGTTTTAAAGCATTTAACAGTTTATAGCTATAGTAAAACATACAACCTTACAAATAAACAAAAACAAGTTCAAGAAGGCTCCAGGAAGTTCAAGAAGGTTCCAAAAGTCTAGAAAGTTCCAGAAAATGGAAACAAAAAGGGCCCTTATATGCAACATCAGAGTGAGATAGTTAAAATTTCTAGGGCACACAATAAGGAAAGAGGACTTGGAAAATTTGATACTCACAGGATGGACTGAAGGCAAGAGATAGAGGAAAACAACACATAACCTTTCTACCAAGCTTGAGGAAATGGATGGCAGAACAGGGTTTAGGAAAGATAACAAAAAGATAAAATTCATTAAGAGCTACAAAGGACAGGAAATTGTGGAGAGCCATGTTTGCTAATGTCCTGAAGGGATATAGAAAAAAGAAGATCCTCATGTTTATCCACATTTTTTTTACTCAGTCGTCTGCTGAAATAGCAAACTCCACTATGTTTACAATAAGATTTGGCTTTCTAGATTAGATAGGATAATCTATTTAAAAGTCCTAAAGATTCTTGCTTTTCTTTCTGTTCTCAATTACGAGTTCTGTTTTGCACTTATAACATTTTTTTGTATGATGAAACTCAAGTCATTTGCACAGTTTTCAGGCAAGAGCCATTGCTAACCAGTCTGTTTCTACTTTTCTTCTAAGCTAATTGGTTAGATAAGTTAGAGATAACTGATAGTTTTGTCTCCAGTCTTCTATTTTGTTGTTTTTTTTTTAGTTTGCTTTCTTGGTTACAGTCAGCCTTGAAAACCAGCATTCAAAATCCTTAAACTATATTTGATAAAGTCTATTACTGTTATCAGTAAGGCACACTCACAGTTATTAATAAGTTCTTTTTTAAAAGCTATCAAATTTTTTATGTATCCTTTAATTAAAATATGTTTATATCAATAGAAAAATTTAATTTCAACTAACCATGTGCAAATAAAACTACCTGAAGAACTATATTATATTATATAAACAGAATGTTTCACCTATTTTAATCCTGAAAGACAAAACCAGTTAAATGATATTCAAAACATTTATGAAATATTTAATGACCCTCCCAACACCCATGAATAACTTGTAATGTAAACAACTTGACTTAAATATGCAAAAAGAAAAAGAAAAAGAATTTAAGACTAACTCTTTATTTATATTGAATAAAATCACAGCACGAAATACAAGGTATACATTTTCAAAAGCTTTTCAAAATCAGCTCAAGTTATTCAGGTTCTCACAGGAATGTGGAAATAAAAAAGAAAAGATCAAAGATTCATTATAAACACCATGATATTTTCCTTAACTGTATAGTATATGCTTTACCAGGCTACATACAGTTTTAATTCAGAGATGTCCTTCTGCTAGACGAGTTGCCACCAAGGCAGAAGAGCCTAGTCTACCCTACTAATCCCTAGCTGAGGGAAGGAGCTTTCCCAAGGGGATTTTCACAAAAATGAAACTCAACTGGAATGCAAACTCAGCTTTCTGATTTCTCATTTGGAGCCACAATCTATTACACCACTCGCACATTTAAAGAAATTAAAATTATTTTTATTTTTTTAACTTTTAGATGAAGCATTGTTATCCCTGACTGGCATGTTTGGTAACCAGTATAGGAGAAGGAAAATTCTGAATTCAAAACTACGTGTGCTCTTGGTGGAGCATATACTTGAATTGAAACTAATTCCCACTCAGCATAATTGTATTGGGTTGGTGCATAACTATCAGGCGTTTTTGTAGGTGTAATATTTTATTTTCAGGTTATAAAAATGTGTGTTGCTAATCATACACTTGGGAATAATCATTTAAAAATGTTATTGTTGAATTGTTGTTTCTTTTATCATAAGAAATATTGTTTAAAAATGCCTGATAATTATGCACCAACCCAATAGTATAAACAAATCAGTCTGGGTAGAGATGAGCATGCTCAGAAAGGAGCAGCCATGTTGAAGATGAGAAATCACATTGAATTGCATTGTGCCTTCAAATCAAAACAGCCCTGATGATGATTATGATTGTTTTTCAAACTAGTATCTTAATTTTTGTTGCTTATGTCACAATGTTTCAGTTGGTGAATTTGCCAGCTTTTTCTATGATAAAATTATTAATGTAAATATATAAATAAAACCATAAGCATATAAATAAAATAAATTAATATCTTTGAAAGATAATTAGAACTTTAAAAAATGAAAAAGCAAAAGTGTGTAAGAATTTAAAAGAGTAGTAAAATAAAAGTAAGGGAAGTGAAATTAGTTTTAACACAGCTGGGTTAAACAAATATTTATGTGATTAGATGGAAACAAAAATACAAGATTTAGAAAAGGCCTCCATTTAAGTTAATGTGCTTTTCCAGTTCTAGGTCTTTTTAAAAGATTAAATATTTCTGCTCCTTGAAAACAAAAAGAAATCCTGAATCAGGTAGCCAGAGAAAGTAGATACAGCTAAAAAGTAGATTTACACTAAATCAAATTTTATGATGCAAGTTTCACAGTAAAATTATTAACTTGTAGGGACATTATTATTATTATAAATAAATAAAAATAAATTATAAAATAATAATAATAATGAAAATTATAAATGAAATAAAATAAAACAATATTAAAAACTTTGTTTAAAATAACTTAAATAAAAAATAAAAATTAATAAAAACTTTCCCAGCATGCAACAAAAACTGTTCCTGCCAGAAATAAGGACATCTCACCAAAAGATGTTAAATCCAATCTCTTCACCACAAACTTTGGTACAAGCAACACATGTCCAATTTCACTCTGTGATATGGCTTCTAATACTATGGAGTAACTTCTCCCTTTTATCACATGTACCATAAAACAATTGTAACCTAAAAAATATACACACCAATGCACACAAAAAATATAAATAAATTGTATGAAAATAACATACA